CCTCCCAAGTAGCTGGGACCACAGGCGCCCGCCACAACGCCCGGCTGTTTTTTGGTTGCAGCCGTCATTGTTGTTTGGCGGGTCCGGAGTGGGGATTCGAACTCGCCACCTTAGGTGTACGTGGCTGGCGCCTTAGCTGGCTGAGCTATAGGAGCCGAGCCAAGAAGATTATTCTTAATCTTCCCTATATTTTTCTCTCAAAAAATATCAAACACAGTTACCATTATAAAAGCACAATATTTCCTTCTGACTAAGCCTATTGGTTCCTAAGATAGTGATATGTATTAATTAAAAGTTCATGCAGCAAGGTTATCTCCAAAGCTCTCCTGAGACGCCTACAGACCAACACATCTGCACCCAGGATATATCAAATGTGTCCCATATCCAAAATGAGATGTGTCAAAGTGCACGTGATGTTTATAAAAAGGAGGAAGCAGGGTAATAAACTTTGCAAATAAATATCGTTATATTTTTAGAAGACAATGCTTACTAGAAACACAGCAGTCCAATTTTTAGCAAAGAGAAACAGTTTAGAATGCTGTATCTGTGACATGCAGTCAACAGCCCGGGACTCAGGATGAAAACTAAGGGCAAAAAATAGAATGAAACAAAATTGCATGGAAAAAAAACCCAAACCTCAACAACAACATCAGAAACAAGAGGAGAAGGGGATGAGCCGGGGCTTCTTCACGACTGCCGTCTCTCTGCACCTCCTGGTCACTCTTGGTGCAAAATACAAGGTAGGAAAGGTGACTTGTTGGTCCAAGGTCCCTGTTTCCAGTTAAAAATAATTCCGCTTCAGACAGAAATTAAAGCAACCTAGTTCTGTGAACACAGGTAGTTAGGTAGGGCCTTAAACAATGACATTTACGGAGGTCTTGCAGGTATTTCCAAAGAAACAAAAGTCAAAGAAATGTATACGCTGCAACTTCCTCGTTCAAGAAGCCTCAAGTTCAGAAAAGTCTGCAGCATAAAGTACTTTCACTATTAAGTTGCCTCCAACAGAATTCAAGATCAAGAGTTCACAGGAAACTAATATAAACTGACATGAATAAACTAGTTGTCTTTTTTTCCCCTCTTAATTTTCAGAATTCACATTTTCTCAGAGTTTGCCTAAATATAAACAACAGCTAGTCTCTTTCACAGAGGCTTTCGATCTCTGTCTTTGGGGGATAAAGACAGAAGCAGCAGATCAACTTTTAAAACTGTTTCTTAATTGCTCTATTCATGATGACAACTGCATCACCCGGGTGGCCATTTGGCTCAGTTTATGCCTGTTGTCCCACCAAATGTCCAGTTTGGATGATGAACCGCAGACACCCGACCCATAGCTGCGTGAGTTCATCTCGACTGTCCATTTCCACGTGTCTGCATAGCGGTGTCACTGTGCATGTCTGAACAGGGACTTCTGCCCTCCGCTCGGTCTTCCAATACAAAATAGGAAGCAGGAAACACCGGGGCCGGTTTTTTAAGTGATTTCCTATCAGCCATCCCATGTCATTATTTTATCTGGGCTAGTAAATGTCTGTATTTTATAAATAATGTAGGCATTTCTAACTTTTTCACTACTCTTTCAGTGAATTTAATATAGAAAACTTGATTCCACGTGACAGTAGTGAAGTAAATTGGTTATTTATCCTCAGTTACCATTAAAACCCAATAGAACAAAAACTGGAAAAAAAAAAATGGAACAAAATCCAAGCTTCTCACTTGCTGGCTCCCGTATGCGCTCTCTGAATACTGAATGGAAGTTACCCCCTTCTGTCAGCCAGCACCTACTGTCTCTCGTCCTAATTCAGAAGAGTAACTCTGTTAAAATATGCACTGGAGCAGAAGCAGGAGAGGAGACTGCACAGCCCGCTGCAGCTATTTCCAGTCCCATTTCCCCTGCTGCTTCCTCACCCACGGCCAAGAAGGAGGCTGAGCTGGGCTGGGAAAGAAACCCCTTTCCTGAAGGAAGCTGATGCTAATCAAACCTGCCCGTGTTTGTCTCCGTCATTTAACAAACATATGGTTTACACGGTCTCTGAAACAATCTGGATCATGTAATTAGGAAGTTAAATTGCTCAGAAAAAAGGCAAATGGAAAAACCACCTTTCCTTGCATGTCCAAGTTTACATGAAGACTTCCTCTGATTGTCTTCTCTGTGGTCCACGCTAAGCGGCTGCTCACTGAGTCTGTCGGCTGTGGTGGTGGCGGCTGTCAGACGCAACCACTGAATCAAATCAAATCTAAGTAAGCAGGTTGCTCCATGTGTAACCAAGGTTGGGCCTCCCTGATGAAACCCTCTGTTGAGATTCTTTCTTCTTCTTTTTTCACAACATAAGAACTACTAGCAGAGGCCAGGATGAGATGGTGAACTCATATTC